GCCCAATTAGGCATATCATAAACTAAGTAATAAAAGAAAATTCACAGATCAGAGGGTATTCAACTCGTCGGATATACTTTTATTTTAAAGTAGGATTTTTTTATAGAAGAAAGTAAAAAAAATTATGTGATGAGTTATAATTTATTTATTTCTTAAATAAACATGTACATTTTATTAGGATTTGTTACACTATGGATATTAATAACATAGGTGAGCTTGTATTAAGTTGTGCACTTATATATATTTAATTGATTCAGTTATTTATATTTTTCAATAGTGGATATTATTAAAGTATCCCGGGTTGACCCGTTTGGTCTGGAAGTTGGTGTAGCGGGGCCTGGAAATTAAAAGTGAGAAATCAAAATAAATAGGGGAAAGTACAGTTTGCACCCCTGAAGTATGGAGTCTGTCACAAACGCCTCTCCAGACTACAAAACGTAACAAAATGACCCATGTGATTTGTGATCAACGTTTAAACAACTTACACCGTCAGTTTTTTTTTATTGCATTTACTTTTTTACCCTTCAAATATATTTAAAAATTCGGACCCCATTTCCTAATATTATGCACAACTTTCTACGCATCAACCCTACCCACAAATCTCCTCGGTTTTTTCTACATCATTTCCCTGACTTCTCTCATCCCTCTAATACGGATTAAGTTCTCGATTTTTCATGCCATCCATTCCGGCAAAAAAATTATTTCCGGCAGATATTTTTTCTCCCCTTCCTCTCTCTATGTTGCTTCATCCCCATCGAGCTTCTTTTTCAGTTAGGGTTTCACTCGGTTGTTGTTCTCGACTCCGTGTAGTCCCTGCTCGCCTGACATTTGTGCTATTTTTTCATCCTTGGCCAGATGGAGTAGTGAGTTTCTAAAATTTTAGAGCAATTTTAGGTTGATTGCATCTGGGTTAAATATTGGTTCTTGATTGGAGGGGCCGAAATATGAATTGTATTTGAATGCAAGAGTTGATTTATTCTTTAGTAAATTTGTTTAATTTGAAATTTAATTTACTTTAATCATTTATGTTCTTAAATTTGGATTCATTTTATTGAATTTGGGGCAATTTTCGATTGAGTGATAACTTACTGTTAAAAGATTATATGCTCTCACTAAAAGAAAATATTTGCTCTTTTGTTATTTTTATTTATGTATTAATTAAATTAAATATGCTACTATATTAATAGGTAAACAAAATCAAAAATATTATGCAATGAAATAAAATGATTATTAAAAAGGGAATAACATAAAATTGTAAGTATCTTTATCCATTATCCATATAGATATAGCAAAGTGAGGGGTAAAAATGTCATAACAATGAAATAAGAGGAGGTCAACCTGCAACATCAGCACATCACAAACGGAATGAAAATGAAGGGGCTATTTTGTTACGTTTTATAGTCTAGTATGGTGTTTGTGATAGACCCCATAGTTCAAGAGTGCAAATTGTATTTTCTCCAAATAAATATTCAAATTCAAATATTAATAGTGTAGATTGCAGAGAAATAATATTAATTAGAATTCATGACTTTTTCCAATATTACAAAATTGTCATTTTTCGGCTGGCACAATCAGACCATGTAGCTTTACTGTTTATTTCCCTCTTTTCAGTTTCTTTTTTATTCTTTTAATTTTTTTAATTGAGGGGAGAGTTATCGGGTATGTGTAGACATGATCATCGGTTCGATTAGAATTGGAATCGAACCGGGGTCAACGATTTTAGAACTGAATCGGAACTGGTTTGACCGGAACCAGAACTAGAACCGGAACCGAAAAAATCCAAAACGATTTGACCGAAACCGGAACTGACCGAAAAAATCGGTTCGATTCCGGTTCCTCATTTTCGGAACCGAGATCCGACGGTTATAACCGCGGTTCTCACTGTTTGAACCGGTTTAAAAAAATAATAGAAAATATTAATTTCCTAAGTCAAATTATATATATATATATATATATTTTATATACACACTAGTTGGGCAGCACCGCGCAAGGCGCGATGCCAAGGCGAAAATTGTGCCTATGGTATTGATGGGATTTTTTATTTATGTGATCATCATTCTAGCAGTTAACACGAATAACCATAAGAGGACTTCAAAAAGCTGGACACTGCAAAACTCCACAAAGTTAGATGACAATTTCACATAAAAAAATCGAAGGTTGTTACCAATTGCGAACTACAATCTACAAACTTGGGAAATGACAAAACAAAAGACGGTTTACATGTTTGGTTTTCAATGCAACGCACGTAGACATCAAAGATTTATTTGTATGAGCTCAATTCTATACATCCCTTTATCAATTTTTTTTAATATAGATTAAAGAGAATCAACTACATTTGTTGTACCTGCGCTCGACCACCTTTTTGAAGTTCTGAAACAGCAGATCGGTCAAATTTGGATCCTCGAATCCAGGCCCCGGATTGAATCTGCAAAAAAAAGGAAAAATGAACATAAGGTATACACATCAGCAAGTAAGCACGAACATAACAACCATGTGTGAAGACAACTTATGAGCTATTGTGAGAGAATAATGCAAGAAATGGCCAGTGTGTGTTTGGTTAAACTGGGATCAAGTAATGACAACACAACCTCCTCAATGGCTGAACCTAGGATCCTACTGTTGCAACTTGTAATGCCTTTATCTTGTGCAAATGGAACAATAGAGACCTAGGTAACTGCAATTTGTACTACAATATAGAAAGAAAATAGAACAAATATCTTACATGCAACAGTTGAACAAACAAATGAAACTTCAAAAGGCTGCCAAAATAAAGATTATGTTGCAAAAATAAAATAGCCCCTCAAACCAAAGAGCGACGAACTAACAAAGACAAAACACTCGACGGGCGAAACTACTTTACCAAAGGACACAACAATTCCCATCATTCTGCATACTACCAAAAAGAAAATAATCTTGTAAAAAAGTATTTATAGTAAGCTTTGTAACAATCTTGTAAAGAAAATATGTCACATGTCCTTCTGCCTGTCAAACTTTAAGCTCCGGTTTGAAACCGGCGAAGAAGAATTGGGGGGTGAGAACAGAAATCGAACTTTTCAGATCGTCTCCCTGTTCTTCAGTATACGATGTCTCTCTGTTTCATTGGACAATATAAATTAAATATTAGAACCATCCACAGATTAATTGTAAATTAGTCCATAATTTAAATCAAAATACCCAAGAACTCAACAAAAAAAAAAAAAAAAAAAGAGCAACAATTGGAGCAGCAAACTTACTATTCTGCACAAACAAAAGATCGAGCGTTAAATTAACTGAAATTAATTCAATTAAAAAATATCAAATGATGTCCTAAATTTCATAAATCTGAACTCTCCCACAATTACGTAGTTTTAATCATTTTAAAAAAATCTTTATAAAATTTGTTTCATATTGTCATAGCAAGTACCAGGAAATGAATAAAAGATGTATTTACCTTCTGAATAGGAGGCAGTCTCCTATACCCAGAATTCTGCAATAATATCAGTACATAAGTGCTAAATGAACAAATAAAATAAAATAATAATGATAATAAAAAAAAAAAGGCAGATTATGTTTAAAAATGAAAAGAAAAGAAAAAAAAAACAGGACTAACTTGATTATGATATCTCGGGGATCTAGGAAGAAAGAGTTATTGATAAAGGTGAGGGTAGGTCAAGTATTATACGCGGAGAATTAGAGAAGATAAAAGAAAATG